GAGGGTAGGTTCCCCAGTATAATTTTGATGTTTACACATTCTAGGATGGCTAATTCGTCTGATTCACTTTTTGAAGTACACATAACTCTCGGATTTAAATCCGAAGTTTCCGCATTTATTTTGAACTTTTTTACAGAAAAGAAAAACAAATTTTTTCATTAAAAACTTTTGTGCCATTTGATACTTTATTTCATTATAAAAAAAAAAAACAAAAAAAAACTTCCTATTAATATTACTCGATAGTAAAAAGGGTGATCTATTTTTGTACGCTATTATATTATATTTCAACTAATATAATAATAATAAAGAGTTAGATTATTTTTTGTTGTTTTCGATATCTATTCTCTTATTCATATTCTTTTTCTTTTTTTTTGTCTCGTCTCTTATACATATATATCTGTCTATACGCATTAGGATATTAAAAAAAAGTAATGATGACCGAACAAAAACAAAAGAGAGAAACAAGTAGCTCGTGATTCTTCTTCAATATTTAATCGACTTTCATGAAATCATATTGATCATGTTTCAGTTATTCTAATATAATGAGCTTTATCATCATGAACAGAATATAATTGATTATGAATAACTATTTATTGTATAGAAATTTCCGTATAAAGTTTAATCTAGAATTGAATATTTTCTTTATTAATTTAAAAAACAAATCAATTATTTGAATATTTAATAAAATTTTATTTAAGATAAACAAATAGGATACAGATAATAAAAATAAAAACAATATAAAGAATAAATACTTATTTAAACATCTAGATTTTTAGGCATTTAGATATTAAAAGAGAAAATATATGTAAACAAAGGAAAAAGAGAGAGAGAGAGAGAGAGAGATGAATAACAAAGATAATATAAAGAAAAAAGACGATAGGAAATAATCTTCCAATAACATTATCAGTCATAGTCAAACAAATCTTATTTTTATAATTATGTTAGTTGAATAATTATATAATATAATAGTGTACAAAAATATATCATCCTTTTACCTATTAATCAATGTAGAACAAAAGTTTATTTTTATTTTTTTATGCTCAAAATATTTTATTCAATGTTAAATGATTCTTTTTTTTTTTCGATTTATTTTTCTGATTTAATAAAGAATTTATTTTTGAATTTGATAAAAATTGTTAAACAATTATTTTCTTATTGAAAATTTGAAAGTAAATATAAAAATCTAAATATAATTATGATAATAATTAGTCTATTACGAATAAATATTATTTGAAATTGTGTTTAATATTTGTCCTTAGCTAACCAGTTTTTTATCAGTTTATATTTAAGATTGACGAGATAAATGTTTGTGTTTATCAAATGAATCTATAGACATTTCATCATTCCAATGTATTTATTCAAAATACGCAAAAATACATTAATTATGTTAGTACGTCATTTTTTTTTCTTTTTCTCCTTAGTCAACAATGGGAAAAAAGAAATATGAAATAAAACTAGAATCATTGATGTGATTATTTAATAAACAATACCTTATTTATATTATACGCATCTAACAAATAATACACCCAACAAAAATGTCTGATTAGATGTTAAAGGCGAATGGATGATATTAATCATCATAAAAAAAATGGAGTATTTTTATCATTAAAAAACAAAATCAATAGAATAACAACTAATTAAAAATATTCAATATCAGATATAATATTTTCATTAGTGACGTTGATACTCAACTCAATCAGTTCCGTTAATTAAAAGAGACTATATTAGAATTGTCGATAAAAATGACACCTTCTTAACCTCATCAGCCATACTCTCAGCATGCTCTAAGTGGTTTGATCTTTGTCTCCAATTTAGAAACTACATTAAAACAAGTATACTTAGTTAAATAAAATAATATTGTTTATTGTTCTAAGAAAAAAAAAGAACATCAAAATATTTAATTTATGTATACAAATGAATAAATAAATAAATAAATAAATAACTAAATATATATATATACATAAAGAGACAGAGATAGAGATAAGTGTTTTTTTATAAGTCAGTTATGTGTTTTCGTCTAACACTTAATTCATTTTCTCCAGTTCTTGGATCAAACTCTCGATAAAATATACAATCAAGTGGTTCAGCTAGCATTAATTCACATGTTGTATGAACAGTAAGAGAACGAATTCTACCACCAATTAATAAACCTGTTTGAGGATCAGAAAATGAACCCATTATATTATGAGATTCTTTATCAAATGTTCCAGTTAAAGATACAATATCATATTCTTTTTTATTTAATTGACGAGAATTTAATGAACATTCTGATAAATTTCCAACACAAGTTAAAATAAATAATGATTGAACACCAATATCTTTCATTAATTCATGAATTGTTGAGATTAATTCAACACCAGGACCAATACGAAGTGGATAACAACGAATTCCTGTACTTGTTGGAGTTTCTATTTATTTTAATTTAAATTTAAATTTAAATATAATTATTTTATTTTATTTAACTTACGACGAGGAGTTCGTTTTTGAGATTTTGTTTTAGTTCTACGTGTGAAAATATTATTGATCGTATTTGTTATAATAGGCATATTGATTGATATAAGTTGTTTATGACAGTTTTTATTTTATTTTCTAAATGTATATACTTCATTAGCGTATAACACAGATTTATATACCAGTTAGTGACTGACTCATTTAAGAATAGGACAAAACATATCACTTTGGTTTCGTCACGCACCTCGCGCATGTATAAACAACTGATAGAAATAAAAAAAAA